TAGAGTTGCAGTGGTGTGTAGAGAGCGTGTTGTATGCGTAGGAATGACGGGGGCACCCAGAAATGTTGAGTTTTGACGTCTTTCGTGGTGCTGAGCCCAGCACCGGCCCAGAGGAGGGTCTTCTCGCCTTGGGGAGTGCTAAAGCCCTTGTCTTCTTGTGCCTGAGCTTGCTGGGATGAGGTCAGACCTCGGCGACCCCCTTCTCCCTTCTGCTCCTGCTGCGGTCCCCGGAGCTGAGGGCCGGTGGCGTCAGTGCTCATGGAGCTGTGTCATTCCCCGTATCCCGCTACTCGCCCCAGAGAGACGCAATGTGAAGAGCTGCTACCTGGAGCTGTTGGCAGTATTGCCTTTCAGACGTCTGAACATCTAACTTTCCCAAACCTAAATGAAGCTGCCTTCCCCTCGAGAAAGGTGGCTTTGGTTCAGAGGGTGGAAAAAGGGATGTCTGTGGCACATAGGCAGCTTCCTCTGTGGAGATGAACACCTGGTGTTCATCACCCTGAGTTCCCCCTCTGACTTCATTTGAAACAGTAGGTTTGTGATTCCTCTGAAGCATCTGCGTATAGTGGGCACTAATCCATGTTTGCTCCTGGTGGCATGTGTCTCTTGAGCCACAGGCTGGAGCTCCCTGCAGCCTGCTCTGGCGAGGTCCCCCTATGGCAAGCACAGCAGCAGGGAGAGACACTGTAGTGTGTATCTGCTGTTGAAGCTAGCTACAGCCTGTCCCTGAAGACTGTCCTAAAGCATAGGTGTCTACTGCTGAGAATATATGCTTCAAATGCATAGTGGTAGGAATGCACAGGAACCTCCACAGGGAGACCAGAGGAATGAGTTGCTGCCAGCAAACCCTGTGATCACTGAGGATTTTGCAGCAGTTTACAATTGAGTGACAAATACATGCTTGTGTCACATTTTTTTTGTTCCTTAAAGTGCAGTCGTTGTGTATCATGTACAAAAATGCTCTGATGAGAAGGGTATCAGTAGTTCTGTTGCTATTCCTGAGCTGCAGAGAAAGCATGGATGACTGAATAGCTGTAACTCCTAGACTTGTGTCTCAGCTGTTGAAACGTTACTTATAATTTGATTAAATGCACTGATTCTCAGGTAGGCAAATGGCACGAGTTGCATCCTTTTGTCTGTTAAATCTTGCTTGGTGTGGCAGCCTTACAAAGACTTTCTAGATAATAACTGTTTGTAGCTGTCACTATTCCTGTGTGTTTTGGCCTACAGGTCAAAAAAATCTTACTGCTAGTAATCTGCAGGCATTAGGACAGTAGGAAAATTTGGGGTTTTGCTGTAACCACCGCAGACTGAAAATGCAAACTGCCTCTTAGTTATGCTTTAAAGTACATGTAGTTAAATTACTCATTTCAGACAGAACTGGAGGATTGTTTCCACCTAATCCTGCGCCCCACCTCCACCCTCCCTTTCAGTTATGGGAGAATAGAAACTGGACAAAAGTTACTACTGCTTATAGCAAAGCTACTGGCAGGAAATTTTCTCAGGTGGAAAATCATGCATGCAGAAACTTGTCCTTTAGACCTAATTTTTTGAGATAATGAATCAGTAGTATGAATTAAGTGTTAGTTTTTTATTTTGTAGCAATGTATCAACAGTCGGCACTGCCTTAAGGGAAGAAAAAAATGCAGAAAATTTTACTACCGATATCATACCATGTCTGCTGCTACTTATCTGTAGTTAAGTCAGCATTCTAGTATTTTATTGCTTCTTTTATAGGTGTGGTTTAGTCTCAGGTTAGCTACCTACACATCTCATGTATGTAGTGTATATCAGGCATATATATGCCTGATACATATGTACAAGTTACATATGTTGCAGTGTGCATGTACCATAAAGTTATCTATAAGCAGGGTTTGGTTTATTTTTATGTGTGTTTCCATGTTTCAGGCAATAAAATCGAACTGAAATGGACTTTGATTTTTCTTTGTTCTATGGCAGGAAATTACAGTAATCATCATGCTGACCAAGTAACTTTTTTTTTTTCTTTTATGTTTTAATCTTATAGGTCAAGTAATTCTGCAGACATCTCCTAGAGTCGCAGGTAGGTTTAAAACACAGCATGCACATGTATCAGTAAGCTGAAGGTAATAGTGAAGATATATAGACTTAGAGAAGGTGAAAATTTAAATTCCACTATTGTGATACCTAACCTTTTGCTCTGGTTTTCCTATAAAGGCAGATAATTGTCTTTGTGAGGTCAAAAGAGACTTGCTCTAAGTCCTAAACAAAATACTATTGTATCCGATTGTCTCAAAAGATGTAATATTATTTACGTAGTGAAGAGTTTGATGACACTGGCAGGAATTGCAATTTCACTTACAGGTATGGGATTAACATATAAAAGCAAACAATAAATCACTAAAATAACTTAAGTGCCTAATATGGGATTTAAGGTGCTTGTTCCACCAAATCAGTTTTTCAGTAAGTTGATAATTTTCCAATCTTATTGTGACATTTTGTGCATAGTTTATTCTGGGAAATGTAAAAGACTGAAATAAGTTGTCAGTGTATATTCAAATAAATTTGAGTCATTCTTGTTTTATATTTTATCTCCCAGGCTTTCAACCATGGATAGCCTCTGTGCAGCAAATACCACTTTTGCACTCGACCTCTTAAGAAAGCTGTGTGAGAACAGAAGCGGGCAGAATCTGTTTTTTTCTCCTTTTAGTATTTCTTCTGCACTGTCTATGGTTTTGCTGGGTTCAAAAGGTAACACTGAAGCCCAAATAGTAAAGGTATGTGTAAATAAACCTAGTGTATTGAATTTGATGGGACTATATGAACAGCAAATCTGTATTATAGACTGTGACCTGAACTTCTGCTAAACTATTATCATTCTGGTTTCAGAAAGCAGAGGTCTTTATTTGGTGTGTATGTAAGCAGTACCTGTTTTTATTGGTTTTCTAGGAGGACCTTTCTTTGGTATGAAATTTAGAGGTTCCTGTTTGGTTTTGTATATGTGTTTTTTTGTGTTTGGTCTTTTGAGACAGATCTTCCCTTGGTATGTCATTAAGAGTTACCTGGGATTTTTTGTGTAGGTTTGATGAATCTAGCTACATAAAATACTTTCTTCCACTATGTTCTTTTTGCTTAGTATCAGACTATACATGTTTTGAAAATGTAACCAGGGTGAACTTTTCTTAAACTTGCTCAAGTGGCAAATACCACTTGGTGTATTTTTTACATATGCAACTGACTATTAAATGTATAATCAGTCGTTTTTGTTCCTATGTTTGCCTCTTTTGGGAAGTGGAAAAGGAGAATAAACACACATTTTGTTTTTATTGTACGGAAGTTTCTCTAAATTTGTATTGTTGCCATTCTTGGAGCCATCTGCGTGTAGTCCTGGGCTATTGGCTGTAGATGGCCCTGCTTGAGCAAGGGGTTGTACCAGATGGTCTCCAGAAGTCCCTTCCAATTTTAATGATTCTGTGATCCTCTAATGCTTGGCTTGAGTGAAGGAAACTAAATACTGCTGACTCTTCTGCTCCCTAATTCTTTACTTGTACAACATCTGGCTGGGTGCATCATATGTGACTTGCATGATAAGCTCCGGCTGGGAGGCTTGATGAAAAATCTTTTGTCTTCCAACTCAGTTTTCTAAACCCAAAAGTCATTTACAAAAATATCATGTTGCAGCAAGTGTGTTTAGGGAGGGCATGGACTCTTGCTGAGGATGTTTGTCATTCTACAGGTGCTTTCTCTGAAAAAAGCTGAGGATGCTCACAATGGGTATCAATCACTTCTCTCTGAAATTAATGATCCAAACACCGAATATGTACTGAGAACTGCTAACAGACTTTATGGAGAAAAGACATTTGAGTTTCTCTCAGTAAGTAACCATTAAATTTGTATGTCTCTTTTTTAGTATAATGTATTGGCTTCCTATTTCCTTCAGAAGTCTATGACACTTACCAATGCAGTAGATTATGCCAGAGCCTTGTATCTGAACTTGGTGGAGAAGCTCCATTTGCGTAACCTGTGACCCAAGTGCGTGGCTGGTGCAAAGCACTACAGACTCCATCAGACTCCTAAATCTTCAGGGTTCCATGATCCATTCATGTTTTTGGCTGTGGGACAAACAGCTGACATATCTCTTTTCCCTTGATAGTGTGTAAATATGATATAAAAGAATTGTTATTCTTCTTCAGCGTGGGCAGTATTTTGTAGTTCCTCTGTTATGTAAGCCATCCAAAGATCATACTGAGAGGGGAACACGACTTACAAGGTTTTCCTTATCAGAAGATCTAAGTAAGGATAGTAGATACTGTGTTACATGTTCCCTAAGAGCAGGAAGATAAAAGGCTCTACTTGCCCCCTCTCTTCCTTCCACCACCCCGGGAGTAATTTATGGTGATTCTTTCTATGAAGAATGGTAGTGTTTCATTTGTCCAATAGGTAAAACTTACATGGGTTGTACTTTAAAACTTTGCCTCTGTGTAATAAAGATCTAGCTATATTAAGTCAGACAGAAGGTATGGGTTTTTTTCCTCTCTAAGAAAAATCAGTTTACCTTCTGAAAAGTTTTCTGTTAGCTTGGGAGGTTTAACAATGAAATTTATCTAGAGAGAAGCTTACAAAATCACATGTTCTCTCACTGAATCAAAAAACAACCCAACAAAAAACCTAGCCACATCAGTTTTCAGTTAAGTTATGTAGAACTTTAGCATAGTAAACCTGCAATGTGACTTAACATAGAGTGGACAGTTCCTAGTTCAAATAGGTGGTGTAAAACCTAAAAGGTATGTCAGCAAAACTTCAATGGCTCAGTATGAAGCTGGGGGAGAAGAGCAGGCAGATTTTCTTGGTGTATTTAGGAATCATCTGTGGCTGAATGAGAGTAAAATATGTTGTTGAAAAGCTATTCTGAATGTCCATGTTAGTCATTTGTAGAGTTGAGTCAGAAATCCTACCATGCTGGACTAGAACAGACTGACTTCATGCGTGCGTGGGAGGATTCCAGAAAACAAATAAATGGCTGGGTAGAGGAAAGGACTGAAGGTGAGTGTTTTGCAAGATGCTGTGTTGTATTTAATGCTAGCCATGGCTTGGGTAAAGAACTATTTCAAGATATAATATTGTGAATTAAAGAAAACCCCGAACATTGAGCTCGTGCTCTGTTTGGTACATAATACTCGTATCTATTGTGTATTAATTACAGAGTAGGAAGTATATTAGATAACTAGACACATGTCAAACTGTTTAAAAAAAAAAAAAACGAAATTTTTTTTTCCTATGTGTCATAAAGGCAAAATTCAGAACCTGTTGGCAGAGGGCATTCTCAGTTCACTGACCAGACTTGTGTTGGTGAATGCCATCTATTTCAAAGGCAACTGGGCAAAGCAGTTTGACAAAGAGAGGACAGCAGAAGTGCCGTTTCAAATTAACAAGGTATGATGTACTAAAATGCTGACAATCCACTGTTACTCTGAAGTACTCTGAAATGAATACGCTTAACTCTGAAGGGGGGGGGGGAATCATTCAAGCAGGGTTACCTTGGGTAGACTGTATGAAATTCCTTCTATCCTCTCCCTTTAATATGAACACTGTTTAGTTTGTTTTGCATAATTACTAGAAACTTTAATATAACAATTAAGTATTTCTTTCATTCTGTCTCTTCTTTTTGCCTTTTACTACTCTTGTTTGTTTGAGAGAGGTAGCTCTCTACTTAGTGACAGAACTTAAAACTGAAGAGAACAGTTGAGTAAAGCTGCCAGGCTATTTGAGAGTTGTGAACAACTTCACAGAAGTCAGTGAACTTTATTATTTCGTGATAAAACTGGTGAGGATAAGAAAAGAAATTTTCCTTTAGGTTGTAGGCAGAAAGCTGCACTTACACATGTGCAGAAACTTCTGAGTGTAAGTCTTCAGTCTGTGGTGGTTTTGTTTGGTTCCTCCCCCCCTCCCCCCCTGCATTTCTGCCACTGAGCTGATCCAAAATAAATGTAAAATTAAAAAAAAAGGAAGTCTCCTTTGAAGATCTCCATGCCATACCTACTTGCTTTTAGAAGTCTACCAGTGCTACTGAAGAAGCCTTGGCTACTATCATTAGCAGGCCCATGGCTGCCCCTCAGGATCACTTCAAACTCTGGGTCTGCCTGCAGATGTCACTAGCAAGGACTGGTAACATGACTTCCTTAACTTACTTCCTTAAAATAAACACTGTTCAAAATTGAAGCCCTCATGCCTGACTTCAAACCAACCCTCCCCCAATGGTAAAATATATTTGCTTGAAACTGCTAATACTGCTTTTCAATTAGGGAATGTGCTGCTCACCCCATACCTCCCTACTGCAGCACTTCAGAAACCATTGGACTGACCTGGTTCCTGCTGCCTTGCCCTCTCACTATTGAAGCATGTTGAAAAAGCTAGCATGGTATCTAGGCATATTATTCAATTTTCTTTTCCTTGGACTAGCACAGACATAGGATGTCCTGAAACTAGGAAAGGGATCCAGAGAACTATTGGAGAAGGTTAAGATGTAGGGTTTGAAAATGCTGCCTTGGCTTACCCAAGGAACTTGCTTTTAGACACATAGAGAACTGCAAATCTTATTCCTTGTAAAACTGAATGGATAAAGTTTGTATTTTCATCCTACTAATGACTAGCTGCTGATGACCTGCAGAAGTGTGCGAGTAGACTCAAATGAGCAATTGGCAATCCGAGGTGTAACCTGAAGTTTTAAGACAGCTGTTTTACAATCTGTCCAACAGGAAAGAGTTATGTTAACATCCCAAGAGCCTTCCCAGCATCCTGTGACATTGCTTCTATGATGCTTGCACTTCTTGCAACTCAATGATTTTCATGTGCTGTGTGGCCTTTTTCTCGCTTATTCATCCTTTTCACATGTCACTGCTGCAAGATAATTTCTGCCATATTCTCTGTGGACATTGTTTCAATGGGCTTTACTTTAAAAACAAAAAACTACTTACATGGTGATCTCGTGAAGGTAAAGGAGAAAGTAATGAAACTCTTAATTGAAAAGGAAGAAAATAATGGTGTGAATTATAGTCACTGATGTACCATGTGAAAATGGAAGGAGATATTGGAGAATGAAATTTAGGAGAAAAATCTTTCCCCTTTTTCCTATCCATGTGACTTAATTCAAAATAATGCTCTCTCTTTCTTGGTATTTTTAATATAATTTTAAAATATTTTAATTTCTCTTTGTTACGGCGCTTGGAGCCACATAGACTAAAAATGAAAATACCTTCAGTGAAATAGCTCTGCATTCATTTAAAGCAAGGAGCATGGGTCCTGCCTCTTAACCAGCTCTGTTTAGTGCTTGTCACTAGTTAAGAGAACAAATATGTGTCCTTATTCTTAAAGGAAACTTCACAGAAATTTCCATATCAGTAACTAAAAATTAAGTCTTAGGGATCCTTACTTCATCACAAAAGGCAATGGTGAGGCTGTGTTCTGTGGTGTGTTTTGTTCTCTTTAGTCAAATTATTAAAAGCCCTAAGTAATTGGATGCCTGCTTTGTATTTTGAGACCGGCATACTCACTCAGTACTACCTGTTGACATCTCTTTACTTTTAGGAAGAGACCAAACCTGTGCAGATGATGTGCAGGAAGGATAAGTTTAACATGGCCTATATTTGGGACTTGCAGACCAAAGTCCTTGAGCTCCCTTATGTTGGTAGTGAACTCAGCATGATTATCCTGCTCCCTGATGCAATTCAGGATGGATCCACTGGCTTGGAAAGTGTAAGTTGTTGAGATAAATAGGAAGACAGTCTGTGTCCTTCCAGGGAAGAAAGTTTGATGTTGTATATAGAACTGCAGTTCAATTCCAGAGCTGTTATGTCACTGGTGCTCAGCACTAACTGAAGACCTGCCCCTTCTCAGCAGCAGATGTTAGCTGTGGTTATGGTGAGGGCATGGTGTGGTGAGCAGCGTATGTGGTGAGAGGGGCATTGGGAAGCTCTTAGGAAGTTCTATAGCTTGTCCTGTAGATCTTCTGTTCAGAACAGCTGGCAGGTTGTCCCTGGCCCACTTAAGGGAAACAGGCTCACAGGAAGATGAGGGATCTCTTCTGTTGTGGAGATATGACTCAATTTTTGGCTACTTCATGCCTGGGACAAGAATTTATTAATAAGGTTTTCCAACACTGACTGCAAGGGGCATTGTGAGCAGGCTTTTCATCAGCCTGTTAACCCAAAGGAGGATCTTTTGGTTAAGAAATAGAAAAACTGGGTTGGGTTTCTTCGGCAACTTATCATCAGTTCTTCTGTACCTTTGCTTCCCATATGCAAAAATGTAAAAAAAAACCAAAAACAAACCAAAACCAATCTAACATGTTTTATAAAGGTAAGCTTTACGTGGAAGGGACTGATCCTTATTGTATCTACCAAAAAGCATATGGGATTGATCTCAGCTCGGGCTGTAGTCTCTAGTGAAAAGTAGAAATTGCATTTCTGGCTTGAGATGCTCTAAACCCTGGAAAAAAGATGTGTTATGCACTGTGTAAACAAACAGAGTAATTACTACTTATGGCTGAGTAAAACTGTCTCTTATTTTAATTATGTAAATCTTTGGGTTTTCTTTAGCTGGAAAGAGAACTTACATATGAGAAGCTGATAGATTGGCTCAATCCACAAGCAATGGGATGTACAGAGGTGAAGGTGTCTTTACCCAGATTTAAACTGGAAGAAAATTATGATCTGAAACCCCTCCTGAGCAGCATGGGAATGCCCGATGTGTTTGACTTGGGGAAGGCAGACTTATCGGGGATTTCAGCTGGCAATGAGCTCGTGCTTTCTGAAGTGGTTCACAAGTCCTTTGTGGAAGTCAATGAAGAAGGCACTGAAGCAGCAGCTGCCACGGCAGGAGTGATGATAATGCGCTGCGCAATGATCGTTGAAGAATTCACTGCGGATCATCCCTTCCTCTTCTTCATCCGGCACAACAAAACTTCCACCATTTTGTTCTGTGGGAGATTTTGTTCTCCCTAAAAAGATGTCTTGGCTGCCATTACACAGTAACTTTCTGTTTCTTTGGAATAGGGCTGCTCTTTTTGCCCTCATTGTCTCTTTCAGCTGTGCCTGAATCCAGTTCTGTGGCCTTCATCTCAGGCTTGATAGAATAACAGAGCTACTTAGATACACAGAGCCACTGCCATCTAAATCGGCTCTTAGCCTGTCCACCTGATGTCTTAACTTCTTTTTGACACAAGAAACATCCCACTGGCTCTCCTTGCAGTTCCCATTTTGGCTTTACTTTCTGTGGCCATCTGGCAGAGAGTTGTTTAGTGACCTCTGCCAAAAAAGAGGTCACTGCACAAAAGAAGGTGTTCATTTGGTTCTGACAAGGCTGGAGTGTGTCTTCAGCTCCCCTCCCCCCTTTTCCTCCCATCCACTGTCTTTTTATTTCTTTTACTTCCAGATTCATCCATTTAATCTCTTGATACATTTCCTAGAGTTGAAAGGAGCCTTTGGCAGCCTGTTCCAAGTGTTGCTAAGCATCCTGATGAGACAGGGGTTTTGGATAATAACTGGACAAGCACTTAGGCAAGAATGGGAATAAAAATATGGCTTTGCACCAAGTGTCCTTGCAGGGTAATCATGGAGTGGGAATGGTCTTACCAGCACAGGACACCCGAGTTTATTACCTATCACCTGGTTCTAGTCCTTTAAAAAAGAATGTAATGAAAAAGCATATGGTGCCTATGCAGTATTTAAATAACAAATACTTTCTGCTATTGTGACAGATTTTTCCAGTTCAGTGTTTCTTAAACATTTTAATGCAACTGTATAATACCAAAGATACAGCTGAAATAGCTTTCCTAATACAGTGATTAATTTGTTTTGCTGTTTCTGTTCCTAGAATAATAAAAGAAGTTGAAGTGCTGCAAGACTTTTTAACCATAAATTATGCTTTTGTTTCTTAAATCTGTAGTCTGAAATAAACCAGTTACTTCTTGATAGAGTTCTCCACACAGGATTCTCCAACTACTGCAGCCCTGAGGTGCTTATTAGGGTTGCCATGAGGTTTGGTGTTGGCCTTGTGAAGATTTTCAGCAATGAGCCTTTCCAGCAAAGGCTGTTTCTGGGCAGGACTGCACTGCTACCTTGGTTTTGTGCCCAACTCCAAATCATTTGTTTGTCATCCAAATGGTGCTAGATTGCACTGCTTATTTCAGTGCACAGTAACTCAGCTGTCTTAGGTGAGGGAAATGAAAGTGCTATGTGATTTCAGGGGTGGTATCTGTCTGCACTCTAATACAGGGCTAGTGCTCTGCTCCCAAAGCCAGAGTGTGGTGTGTTCCTGGTGGCCTGATTGAGAATACAACCACGTTAAGTCCATGCTGTTACTTTCCTTGCATTAAAAAAGTAGAGAAGTCTGACTGAGACACTGAGCATCAGCAGGGCAGTGTGGTGGGAGGATGCCTGGCTAAGGTGTTCTCTAGGCGGAGGCTGCGACTGATTTGATTTGGAAGCAACAGCTAGTAGAGTTGAAGTGTGGTATTAAGTAGTGGCCCTAATTTAGCTATTTCTGGTAACTGGAGTGAAAGTCAAGAGGGATATGCATCAGCAGGGATTGGTGCACAGAGCTTAGCCTGAGGGGCAATTTCTGATGAAGTCCCTGTGCACCAAATAATTAAGGATTCACAACAGCCCTGCACTTTATTCACCAGAAACCTTCATTACTGTTACTACCAGGCAATACCAGGGCTCCCAGACGCATACCCGCGACGGGCTCCTTGCACTTGTCCCACGGGGCAGACCCCCCGATCTTGCACTGGCCGGGCAGGAGGGGTTGGTTGTCCCTCCCTCCTGGGTGAGGACACCGGGCTCTGCTCCGAGACCATGCTCCCGCCCTGCGCGGCCTCTCTCCGCCCCTCGCCGCACCCCGCGGATCTCCGCGCTTTCCTCAGTCCCGGTCCGCGCAGGCAGGCAGGCGAGTGGTCTTGGGCTGCGCTGGTGCTCCGCGGGGCGGAAGGGGGTCAGGGTAGTCTTCGCCCCAGCCCCCCCGGTG